CTGTGAGTCAATTAAACCTCTTTTCTTTATAAATTACCCAGTCTCGGGTACATCTTTATTAGCAATATGAGAATGGACTAATACAGCCCACCTTGAATGAGGTCTCTTTTAACTAAACTCTCTAGAATCTGTTCAAATTGCACACAATAAGCACTATCCTTAATATACCCCAGAGATTCCCTCACTGTAGAGGTTTTAGAAACCTCCTCTCATGCCTCCTGGGTCTATGGATCACCTGTAAGCTGCCCACAGGGTTTTGATACAGGAAGCTGCCCTCCTCAGTCCCATGCCACACACCATTTGATCATCAACTTCTGGTTGCACACTGGGCCTTTCTGGAGACAAATACCCTCATGGCCCCTAAGCCTGTGATCCTACGTACCCAGTTGCCTCTTATGCCTTGGATCATTGACACAGCACTCTGCAGACTCAGCACAGTTAGTTACAGAGGCCTCTAGACAAAAATGGAAATAGTACTTATAGACCAGAAGCAAACCTAGGCCTCCTGGCATATCCAACCTATAGGAGGAAGTGGTTTCTCCTGTCCTCAGCCCCTTGCCAGAGGCAATGGTGCTGTAGGCTACCCTTACCCAGGCCCACTGGCCAACTAGAGAGTCTCTTTGGATCAACTGAGTAATCAGAAAAGGTATTTCATATGCAAGGTCACCATAAAATGTGATGATGCCCTCTAGTGAGTTGCTGCTATTCATTCCCTAACCTGGACATCCCTGATCAAGGATGGGACTCAAGAGCCAGCACAAACGACCAAACTTTACAGTCATCTTAGCACTATAGGATGCTTAACCAACAATTGGTCCAGTATGTATATTTGTATATATTATTGAGGCATTACTAATTATCTAGTCAGTTAGTCTGATTTGTACCAATTACAGCAATTCCTTATCCAAGGTCACCCTACTTTGGGCTAAAAAAAAAAAAAAAAAAAACCTCTAGGAATTTCTTGCCTCACAGATAGCCAAAATATAAACAAATGTCACACATCAGCTCACACTAAAGCTAAACTAAAAGGCCTCACCAAAACACTTCTTATCCCCTTCAGAGTTTCAGAAATTATTCATGATGACCAAGGCCTGCATTTCACTTCTTAAAATACACACCATGGACTTTTGAAGAAGACATTCAATGGAACTCTCACCTTTCTTACTGACCTCATGCTGCAAGTCTCATAGAGTACAATAATGGTTTATTTAAGCAAGTTCAAAATCAATTAAATCAGCCCTGGCACATTTCAGTCATCAGTCAAACATCAGTGGTGAATTGTAAGAGTCTGACTCCATTTGTGATGTCTGAGTACTTATAGCTTTTAAGGTCCATTCCTCCTCCTCCCACTTTTTGGCCCGTATCTGAGCAAGCCTATAATAGGGCCCATGAACTTCATCCCTTGGCATCTGCTGGGATGTGAAGACTAGACAAACCTGAAGCCTCACCGTGGCCCCAACCCAGATCACAATGAAAAACAAAACCAAGTCCTGCTCTCCCCAGAAAGTCACATTATACAAGTAATAAACCTGTGCATACTCTTGGTGTACGTGTGGTCTCATCAGTCTTGATATCCAAACCAACTTAGGAAGGGGGTTGATCTCATCTTTGTTGGGTACAGCCATAGCTATGCATATAACTCCTTTGCTCGTAGACTTCCAAGAGCTCCCCCACTGTCCACTAAATTGTATAGAAACTATTTATCATAGCCGCAGATTTATCTTTCCAGACTTATGCTCCACTATTCTCCTTCGTAAATATTACACTCCAAATGTTACTGTTCCCAGAGAACGCTTGGTCTTCAAATGCCTCCATTCTCTTTGCTTATGCTATTCTCTCTGACCTGAGTTTTCTCTTCTACCCCCATCTCTCTTTGCCTCTTCTTCAAAATCATCTTAAAAGCTAACTCTTCCATGAACCGTTTTTGGATTATCCTGACCAGACAAGATCTCTCCTTACTTTGAACCTCCTATCACCTTGTTTGAATCTCTGGTGGTGTTTATCATGTTCTATGCTGGAAAAAGCATAGACATTATCATCATTCACATCTCCTCTAGAGCAGGAGTTAAGAGCTTGAATCCTGAAGACTCCCCCAACACCCTCCCCAGAAAAAAAACAATAGTTCAAATCCCGTATCTGATTCTTACTACCAAGTTGTTCTTGGGCAAGTCATCTATCCTCTCTAAGCCTCAACTTCCTCTTCAAATGAGAATAAATCTTATATGTGAAAAGCTGCACTCCATGAAATGTTAGTTATTATCATTACTTGTCCTCACAACTAAATTAGAAGCAAGTTTATCTCAGAAACTCATTTTAAACAATCCAATGCAAGATCTGAAAAAATGATTCATAGGAACTTACTAAAATTTTAAAGCAAATTAACAGGAAGATTAGCACAATGAATTCACTTCTATGAAATCTCACTTAATTCTAAGTATACCCATACAAGGCATCTAAAAAAAATAAATAAAAGAGTAGAATTCAGGCAAAAATACAGGTTTGTCTTAATAACTGCTTCCTAACTCATAACTAGCTAAATTTATTTCCTAGATGTTCATCCATACCCCACATTGTCTTTCGCCACCCTGACACTCTCTCTCTCTCTCTCTCTCACACACACACACACACACACACACACACACACACACACACACAGACTCACTCATAACTGGGCTATGGGCTTAGCTATCTTCTAAACTGTTATTTTAACAAAGAATAGAAATTCACGGATTTAAAACAGTGGTAGGTTAGTTGACAGCTTGGTCCATATTTACTTCTGTTCAAAATCCTGTCCACAGACATTTTATTACTATGTAAAGTTTGATGTGAAACTCTTAAAACATACAGTGAGCTATGATCTATATTTCATCATCCTAATTTAAATAGGCATCAAAAATATTTTTTGAAGTTAGGAAAAAAGAGATTATACCGTCTGATGCAGTAATTCTCCCTCAAGGATCTACCTTAAGGGAAAAATGCAAAAGGTAGAAACACAGGGGGGTTCAACAATGCTTATTAGAACAAAGTTAAAACTGCAAGCAATACCCTGTATGTATAAAACGTATGATTGTCGACAGTACACCAGAACCAGATGTTAAAATAGTTTTTCATGGTAGTGAAGAATGCTCAAAAAAGTGTAATGAAAAGGCAGGATACATGTGAAATAAAGAGAAGGCCTTTTATCCCGACATTAGCACTTCTGTTTTCCTTAGTCATAGTGTTACTCATGGTACTTATCCCTTCCTGTACTTCAAAATATTCTACAAAACATGAGTTAATTTAAAAAATTTTTAAAGTGTTTTATAGCCAGTGTTGAAATGGTCTATAAGAATCACCACAGAATGTGTTCAATTGAAAATTAAAGTCCTCCTTGAATACAATGTAATACTGTATTGTAAAATTGAGAGAAACTGTCACAGAGTTACATGTATTTGTAAACTGACCCACCTAATGTTCCAGTCAGTCCAATTCCCCTGGGTAAGGTCACCTTGAAATGTGGGTCATGGCTCTCTTTGGAGGAAGAAAGTAAAAAGTAATAGAAACAGAACTGACTGCTGGGCATGGTGGCTCACACCTGTAATCCCAGCACTTTGGGAGGCCAAGGGGGGCGAATCACTTGAGGTCAGGAGTTCAAGACCAGCCTGGCCAACATGGTGAAATCCCATCTCTACTAAAAATACAAAAATTAGCTGGTGTGGTGGTGTGCGCCTGTAATCCCAAGTACTCAGGAGGCTGAGGCAGGATAATTAGTTGAACCCAGGAGGCAGAGGTTGTAGTGAGCTGAGATCATGCCACTATACTCCAGCCTGGGCAACAGAGCAAGACTCTGTCAAAAAAGAAAAAAAAAAAAGGACTGTAAGGGGAAGGGGTAAAATAAATCTATAAACTTCCGTTTTGTTTTTGTTATTTTTAAAGCCTATCTCAATAACATCCTCCGTCCTTTAAAATGTATTTTTAATATTTACTTTTCACAAAAAGTATTACAGAGGGTCATATCTTAAGCTTCTGCTTCCTTAGACCAAATGGTTCCTTACATTAACCAAGTTAAATTGTGGACCATAAGTAAGTCCTATCATCATAAAATGTCAGCTAAATATAAACTGTATTTCTGTTTCTATAAACATTTATGTGTAAGTGTATGATATAGTAATCATGATGCTTAATCTTAACCCACACTTTTTTAAAATAATAAAGCAAACCTAATTAATTTCCCATGCAATACCTTGAAAGGTACTCATGCTAGATTCCCCAAATTCACATAAATTATAAGCCTTTTGCAATCTGCAGCATAAATACCACGATGTGAGAAAATTGAGATGTAGTGTGTGTCCTGCATATGTAAAGACAGTAAACTGGCACTTCAGCAGTCGAGCTGGCAGTGTTTGGCTGGTCAGTCCCCTGGTCTTCCAGGGTGATAATGGATTTGCATTGATTTAACTTCCCTGTTTGGTCCAGGCCCTTGGAGGATAGCAGCATGCACCTGGAGTGGGCGTGAGCTAGGAGAACAGTGCAGAGAATGCAAACCTGACTGTCTCACCTGGTGACTGACTGACTTCATGGTCATGAACTTGGTCTCATTTGTTTAGTTTTCTCACCAGCTGAGCTAACTCACATTTAAGGTTGAATTACACAAACCAGCACAGCATTCCAGAGTTTTTATTTTTCTTTTCCAAAGAAATATCACCATTAAATTTCCAAAATATTTCCTATTATATCATAGACTCGTAAGATTGTTATGAAAAAATCATTTTGACAACATTAAATGTTTTCGGAGGGTTTAAACATGGTAATTTTTAACAAACTGAAAGTAAAATCTAGAGCAAACTGAAGCATTCCCTCAAAGCAAAAACAATAAAACAAATAAATTTACCAAAGCAATTGCCTTTCTTTATTATAGACATGGGGATTTCAAAGGCCTCAAGGCAGGCAATTAGTAATGCCATCATCTGGTAAAAACAGCACCAGAAGGGGCATCTAGAACCCTAGGATTTTGTCCTGGTTGTCACTGTGTAACGTAGTAAGTCACAATTATCAGTTACTTCATTTGTAGAATAGAAAGCTGAGCTTGACACTTCTAAGAGCCCTTCCAATTTTGAACTACTAAGAATTTGTATTCTTGTCAAAAATGATACAAATCATGTTAAACATTTTTTAATTCTAGATTTTTTTAACCCATGACAAAGAGCTGCTAAAATGTTCTAAGATAAAACAAAATAAAATGAGCCTGCCTTTTTGAAACAAAAGTCTCTAAGAGTAACAATGGGAAAATAACTGTACAAAACATCCTCAAGAAGATGTTTTTCCTCATCTAAAAGGTGACAGGATCACCTGGACAATGTGGAAAGTATTTTCTTAAACTAATTATTTCTAGTGCAGCACTGCAAGTATTGGTGAAAGATCTTAAAAATACAGTATCAAGGTAATTTTCATATATTATCTAGAAACATAACTTTCTCCCTTTCCTCTCCTTTACTGTTAAAAATCCTTGCACAAGTGTAAAAGTGAAACCAGAATTTCATCTAATAAATGTCTGTCTTCACTTTACGGTGCTGCTCTGAAAGCTGATGACTGGATTTTGGAGCAGGAGGAAGCACGTGCAAAATTGTTTTTAACCTTGCAAATCTCATGATGTCTCCTTTAGTGTAGTCTTGGGAGAAAAACTAAAATGATATGAAAGAGTCACAATCTAGAGTTGCAAAGCCTCTAAGGTCCTCAACAAGGTAAGCCCTGTTTTAGGTCAAAGGAAAAGAGTCAAACAATTTCTAAGGAAACAATCTCAATTCATCTGAACCTTCTTTTTTACAGCCACTTTAATTAAAAAGACAGAAGACAAAGATATGTTATTTCTAATTAAATACTGAGATGAGCATAATCCACACTTACTGCCAATAAAGATATTTCTAAAGGATTTATTATTTGTGATTTGCTCATTTATTTCAAACAGCCTTCCCCCCCAGCTCCTACTCTTTTTCCTTAAAAACTCCTATTCATTTAAAAAATCCTATTCAATGTGCTTCAAAGTCTCCTTATTTTGTTAGAAAAATCTATCAGCTCCTGTACAAATCTGCCTTATAGGTTACCATTGAATCGCACCCACAGCAGCCAAACTGCTATTACAAAAACGAATGCTGCAAACAGAATGGATACTATCAAAGGGGGCAGTTATAATTCAGGGCCAAATAACTGTATTATCCTAAAATGTTTCCTACTTAAAATAAAAATTTATGGGATAGTCGAATAGCTTTTTAAATTAAGGGATTTATCAAGTCCTTGAATTTCTAAGTATTTTTTCTAACTTTCTTCAAATGAAACTTGTAAAGGATAAATGAAGGGTGTTTTATGTTGAAAATTTTACATTCAGTAATGAAGAGTATTACCAACTAAAATATTAAAAATGGATATTTGCAGGTTTCTAGAGTCAATACTGCATTAATAATAAGAACAGTATTTAAAACAGACTTGTCTTATTTTTAAATAAAGTGATACTTTTATTTTTCCCATATTCCCTTATACTTATTGAATTTATATAGCCTCTGTCTTCCAAGGAACTTAGAATGTTCTGTAGACTTATAGACTTAAAAGTATTAGGCCTGCAAAATATTAATGTTGTCAAATAATAACAATTTTTATCTTAAGAATAAGGTGTTCTTTCTTTTTATTGACTTTTTTATTTCCATATTTTGGAGAACAGGAAGGAGTGATGTGATGGAAAACAAAGCAGTGGTAATTGGAAAGTCCATACAAAAGAATAAGTAGGGGCATGAAAAAGAAGCAATAAATTATAACTTCAAAGAAGTCATCTACCTAATAGGGATAACTTGGCTTCACTTTATCAGATTCATCATTGCTTCAAGGAGTTGATGAGAAAAGCTACACTAACAAATCTACTCCTTTCCTGGTTCTTAAATAAAGCTCCGCTTTAAACTGTTAGATTATCATGTGAGGAAGAAACAATTCTTCTCAACAGAGGCTCTATCAATATTATAATTTCTTTCTACAATATCAGAAGACTTACCAACTGAAGTCCATCAACAGTTTGCTAAGATAGTGGTCACTATTTTTGACAGATTAGTATCGCATTGTTCTTGTTAAATAATGGCAACCAGACAGTAGGAATTTCTGATGAACACTTAAACTGTTTGATGGAATTTTAAGTGCCAAATATTTAGCTTTTTCTGAGGTAATTATAGGATCTGAAATATAACCCTTAAATAATAAATACTGTATTTCATAAAACAAGCCTGATGGAATTTAAGGAATTACAGCTTCATATTCTGACTATATAATCTAACCTATAAAAAGGAAGAGATTTACTTATTTTTAGCCCTACTTTGAAAATTTCTGAATTTAATTCAAAGAAGGAATCAGCAGATTTCTAGAACCTAAAATACTATCTGATCCTATTTTATTTATAAAAATAAGAAAATGTAGATTTTATTTCAAACATAAAGCATTGAAGGACATAACCAGTTCAAAGGAAAAACAGGCCCTAATACTTACTGATGCAAGTTTACCTAATACTTTCAGTTAAGCAATAATGGCTACATTTAAATCACTCGATAAAAGAGCTTGAAGATTGATTAATGGAATTTACTTTTCAGCTTAAATGGCAGATAATAAACTGACAAAAAACAAAAGCCTTGCATATTATGGATGGTATCAATTAATGATTGCCTGTATTTACACCTGTGATTTATTCTTCACGAAGGTGTATATACTTACATCATGAAGAGCTTAGCTAAAATCAAAATATCCTCAAATTCTTAAAACACTGAACTTAAGAACCTATAAATACTTGAGACATTTGTTGACAGATGTACGCATTTATCTGTGGTTATTTCCTCAAGTTCATATTCAACCATGTCAACTTTTTAAACATATTAGCTGGGTCTCTGATAAACTAAAGACCATTTATGTTCCACTTCAAATGTTTTTTAAAAAATATCCTCAAGAAAATCTAAGTTTCAATTTACATTATGACATTGAGAAATATTTTTTAAATTTATATTTTACATCTTTTATTTCAGAATAGTCTATCTTTAAGACATTTTATCTTCATATTTATTTGCATATTTGTTTCAAATTCTGCTCTAAAAATCCACAGAACAATTTCAGAGTTTTATTAAGTAAACACTATTTTTCTAGACCAACAATAACTTCATTAGCCTTGAAAAAGCCCCAAACTGGGAACTGTTTATTGTACAGAACGCTTAGCTTTAATCAATTCATTATGCTCTTACAAAACTGTTTCATAAATAGCATTAACTTTGGGACCATATAGTCACATGAATACTCAAACTCTCCATTTAAATACTAAAAGGATCCACCATCTCAAGGCGATCTCCCAAATCTATTTATATTAGACATTGCTACAGTTTGATTCTCAGCTATGTTAAGTAAGAACTATCATCGGAACCAAGGCCATTGAATACCCTGCCCTTAATCCTTTTTTCAAAGCAAACTTGCACACACCGTAATTCTTTTAAGAATCTTTTATTTTATTTTTTTAACAATTCAGTCTGTTGGATCTCGATGCAGTTTATTTAAAAAAAAAATCAGTACATTTTCATAGAAACTGCAATCAAAAAAGTAATTTACTTTGTCAAAGAAGTTATGAAGTTGCAAGTTATTTTTTGTAATATGCAGAACAGTAAAATGTAAGCATGCTCTTGGATGCAGGTGCTCCTGTGTACTATGGAGTTATTTTGAAGAGCTTGCTAACGTCTGCAGGCAGTTTATGGGATGCAATTATTTTCTCCACAACTTAGGTACATGAGAATAAAACTGATATTTATGAATAAAGTATTTTTCTCGAAAAAGTTGAGGCAGCTTTTGTTGAATGTTATCTGTGTGGGTACACTTGCTACACCTTGAACTGTACTGAGAGAGAGACAGACAGCAAGAAGTCCATGTTCATGCTGAAACCTGAAAAATCCCTCCACATGTGTTGAGGAGTTCCAAGAAAAAGAAGAGGGTAAAACACTATACACAGTTGTTCATCGTCTTACATTAACAGAACACACCGAGAAACTTTACATAACAAGGAAGCAAAACCCCCTTCACTGCTTTTAGTCAAAGTCAGTGGTGTCTATAGCGGAGGATAAAGGTGGAGCAAGCCTAGTAGGGATAAAGCTTAAGTCTACACCTCATGCAGAGTTGTCCTTGGTCTGTCCTCTAATGTTTCTCAGACATCCGAGTTAGAACTGAGGTTTGTTAACCTGGGGTCCGCATTGATTTCATATCTGTAATGATACCCTTCCATGTGATCCCTGCAGGCATCTCTGATGTTATGCATCCACTTTTTTATCCCCTTGCGGTTCAAATACAAAACCAGGAGGAAAATAGCGCCTATCAGGGCTAAAACAATACCCAGGAAGACATAAGAGGTTTGCAGGGATGGGGGAAGAATCGGGTCACAGTCCAGGTCGGCACTGTTGAGTTCCAAGAGGACCCGATTCCTCATTTTTTCCGGAAAAGCACAGGTGAGCCGGTCTTTGCCCTGCACCACCTCTGTTTGCTTGAGCCAGGTCACCATGTCTGCCATGTGGCAGTCGCAAACCCAGGGATTGTTGTCCAGGAAGACCCTAACGTGGGGCAGACCTTGCAACTCAGCCAAGGTGCCATTGTGAAGGACCTTGAGGGCATTGTCCTCCAGGTGGAGGCTTTCTAAATGTGTCAGGTTGCGGAAGGACACGTAGGTCAGGCTCACCAGCGAATTGTTACTTAAGTCCAGGTGCCTGAGGCTGGGCAGTTGGGCCAGCACATCCCGCGGCAGGTAAAGGAAGTGGTTGCTGGCCAGCTCCAGGCAGTGGAGCCCCTGCAGTGCACGGCCCGCCACCAGGGCCGCCGCCACCATGCCCTCGAAGCTCCGGTTCTGCCGCTTATCATCAGGGGGCACGATGTGGTTCAGGATCAGTTCCACAAGGGGACTGGGGGCCGAGATGCTGGCATTGCTGCCCGAGAAAGCGAAGGGGCTGAGGTAGGCCAGTGGGTTGTGGCTGAGGTCGAGCTGGCGCAGGCTGGGCAGATGCTCGAAGGCGCCCGCGCGCACCTCGTCCAGGCGGCTGCCGCTGAGGTTGAGCGCAGCCAGCTCCGCCAGCGGCGGCCGGCGGGCGAAGGCGCCGGCAGGGAGCACGGCCAGCTGGTTGCCGGTAAGGAAGAGGTTGCGCACGTAGGGGGGCAGGTCCGTGGGCACCTCGGTCAGATTGCGGTTAACGCACTTGACTGTGCGCGCCGCCTCGGAGCACTCGCAAAGCGCGGGACACTGGTCGGGCAGCGGGGGCTGGGCGGACGCGGCGGAAGCCAGGAACGGCGCCGAGGAGGAGAAGGAGGATGCCGAGGAGGTGGGAGAAGACGAGGAGACCCAGCCCAGGAGAACCAGCGCCAGTCGCGCCAGCCGCAGCCGCCCGTCCCCGGCGGCGGGGCCCCGGGAGCACCCCCCAGGCATCGCGGCTAGCGTATCCCCGGAGCTGGGCTGGGACGGCGCCCGCTCCGAAGCCTCGGGGGGCTGGGCCCGGAGGGTGCGAGCCGGCGGAAGCGTCTGGAAAAAACTTTCCTCTCGTGGAAGCGAGGGAGTGGCGCCGCGGCCGGAACTTGGCTAACCCCCTCGCCACCGGGCGCTTCCCTCCGGGGCCGATTCCCCCGCCCCTTCCCTCCAGAAAGTACGCACGGCGGGTCGGTACGCTCGGCTCCGCGATCCTGCTCCCGCTCCTCTTCCTGCCGCCGCCCCGGTGGCACCTCCTCGCCTCTTGTTGGCGCCCCTCGCTGGCTCCTCTGAGGGACCTGGGACAAGCAGGAGAGAGGCGTGAGCAGCGGTGGCTGTCGCGGCTTCCGGAGTGCAAAAACCGGCCTTTTCGAGTCTAGTCGTCACCACTCTGTCCCAGAGAGACACCACTCTCTCCCTCCGAAAGCCCGCCCCGGCCTCGCCTCCACAACCCCTCCAGTCACTCTTACTCGGGAGAGGGACGCGCATCCGACACCCAGAGCGCAAAGTCTTCCCTCTCCCCTGCCCCACACTAAATAAACCCAACCGGCCTCCCGCCCTCCGCCTTTCCCGAGGAGACTCGTCTCCCCGCGCCTAACTTCTTGCTTAATCCCCAATTCCTTCCCTACCAAACTTCTCCTTTTGCAGGTTCCTTCCCGCACCGCCTCCGCGGAAGGTCGGCCTCCGGGTGTCTCCGCCCCCGCCCGGACCTCTCTTCCCGGTCCTGGTTAGGATGCGAGGGAAGTTTCAGGTTACAGGACTTTTTGATCTCTTCTTGTACCTTCCGGCATTAGCAGAAAGTGGAGCTACAACTGTCGCCCCCCAGCCCGCGCCCCGCCAGCCCCTGGGATCCCAAAGGGGTTCAAGTCATCTCCAAAGAGGTGGGGAGAGTCTGGGAACAAAGCAGCAGTGGGACTCTGGGTCGAGTGGCAACCCGAACCAACGCTACTCTCCACCCGAGTATGGGGAGGGGCCCCAACGACGCCTGCCGGGTCTCTCCCAGGCCGCGGGCTCCCACTGCTCACCTCCGCGCCCGCCGCCTCCAGAACCAACTCAGTTCCACCAGAGTAGCGACGACTTCCCGGCTGCGCGCTGCGGGCGCCGACTCTCTTCGCACCCCAGCCCCTGGCCCAACCTCCCAACCTCCGCAGCTGGGAAAAACCAACCCGGGGGGCGGGGGAGGGCCAGGACTGACGGGGAGACTCCCGCCGTGCGGGCAACCTCGGCAGTCGTAGGTAGGGGGATTTAAGAAGAGAGACTAGGGGAGCTGGGCTGCGCGCTTCCTCCTGGTGGAAATTAACGAGGAATGTGCCCAAAAAGGTGAGGGAATCCCTTTCTCTCCCCCCTCCCCGACATCCTTGGGTGGTTCCTCATTTTGCATACTGTATTTACCTTGGACAGGAGCAAAACCGCTGGTGAATCTTGTGGAATTCACCCTGATTCAGGCACCTTTGGCAGTGACGAGATAGATTTAGGCATGACAGAGCAGCGCGAAGCAGCACCAGAAAGAAATGAGCTGAAAATCTACAGCGGCAGCAGCAAAGGCACTGCAGGTTGTATGAAAGCTTCAGAAACTCTCCCCATCAAAGTGGTACCGGAGGTCGTAAACTTCAGATTTAGGTGTAATTAATGCCTTCCCGCCTGTTCCCCCCACCCCGCCCCCTCACTTCTTGGGTAGTGATGGAACTTGTGAAGAGAGCGCGCCAACTTTAAGAGAGAGAGAGAGAGAGAAAGATTAGTGGAGAGGAGATTCATTCCTGATTCATTAGCTTTTCTCTTACCAAAATTAAAAGCAGATGGAAGAGAAAGGCAGCCAAAGGCATCCCAGAAACAAAAGGCAAATAGCAAAGACTTGAGTCACCCGGAAAGCAGACCCGCCCCTCTCCCCAGATGTAGCGCGGTGTGTCAAGTCACTTCTGCGGGGAGAGCTGCAAGGGTGGGGAGTAGGGGTTGCAGGAGCTGACCTGAGAGGGAAGTTTGGTTTCAAAGTCGATTGTCCCAGGGGGGCATCTGGCAGGTGGTGATGGAGAGGATGGGGTTGGGGAGAGGGACAGATTGAATGATTGGTTACAGTAAGGCTCTGTTATTATACCAGACAGGTTTTGGATTCTGAAAGCCCTATCGTTGCTCTAACTCCATATCCCTTTGTCCCAATTAAATAATTTCCCCGAAGGGATAAGAAGGTGCTGGTTATTCCAGGCTTCTTCATTTTAGAGAGAAAATGGCAATTAGGGAAAACATGGTTCGGAAATTTAAGACCTGGTCGTATAAAAAAGATCGAATAAGGATGCTGAGGCTTGTGCCTGGGACATGTGCCTTTAGTGTCAAGAAAGACCCCAATTCTCGAATGGATGCCTGATTACTTTTATAGAAAGAGTCTGCAAAGCCGACAGCAAAAATGGCTCAGACAAAAGCTGAAAACACTGGAAACTGCAGAGATTTGTGCACAAAAGCTGGTTTCATTAATTTGCATCTTCAGCACGTTTATCTACATCTCTTTTCTTATTTTTAAAAGTGTTTTGCAACATGAATGTAAAACACTTTGAAAAAGAATCTCTAAAGCTGTAGTCATGTTCTGTATCCGGATTGTGGTGGTGGTTACATAAACCTATACAACGTGTTAAAACTCACAGAACTTTGTAAACCAAAAGAGTCAATTTTACTGTATGATAAGTTTAAAAATAAAATTAATTACTCATTGAAAAAAACCTGTAATAATGCTCTGGCGTGATATTAACTCTGGTCCTGATCTGAAGACCAACTGCTTTGTTAGGAGAGTGAGATACACTTTAGAATTTAGAAACATAATATATGTATTTTCATCTGATCCTCAAGACAACTCAGAGGCAAGATAAATATTGTTAGTATTATTGCTTGTTGCTATTATTGTTGTTGTTCTGTTGTACAAATGAAAAACCTGGGGCTTTAAGTTAGCTTGACTGAGTGTCTTCCACTTGCCAAGCCCCGTGCTGATCACTTCACAGATACTATCTCATTGACTCTTCACATCAGTACTCAAGTTAGGTCCTCTCACTCCAGTTTTACAGACAAGAAAATTGACGCAAAAATAAATTACATAACTTGTTCAAATGAGTGATGGAGGTGGGAACCAGGCCCAGATTTGCCTGCCTCCCATATAGTACATCCCACATTCTGCCTCTAGGCAAGATTAAGGAGTCTGTGCAAAGTTCTACTCTGTTCCACTTAGGCAGAACGTACACCTCACCTCTTGTTCCCTTTTTACTTCTGCCTCCACCTTCATGCAGCTGGCAATTGCTTATGGCTGCTGAATAGGGACCCAGAAACTTAGGGTCATTTCTAGCTCTGACACTTGCCTGCTGTGTGTCTTCTATAATAGGACCACTAATGACATTTGAAGACATTTCCATGAAAATTGAGATAAATATGTAATGTACTTAGCAAAATCATCTGTTTTGATTGTTCTTTCCACATTATCCCCCTCATGTTATTTATTGTAATCCACTATATCTCTGTAACTGTGTTAGTAATAGGAATACAAGGATAAAAATTTAAATTCTCTTTAAGGTAGAATTGCCAGATTTAACAAATAAAAATACAGGGCACTCAGTTAAACTTTAATTTCAGATAAACAATGAATACTTTTTAAGTATGTCCCATGTAATATTTGGAAACTACACCCAAAATTTTGTTGCTTACAGTTGAAATTCAACTTTAATTGAGTATCCTGTATTTGATCTGGCAATACAGCAGTTGATAATCTGGTAGAAGAAAGAAATAGACACAGAAACAAAAGCTCTCAATGCAGAATTGAGTATGGTTTGGTGTGTATATCTTTCCAGTCAATGCCCTCTCTCTTTGTAAATATTTCAATTCTGTTTCTGCTATTTTTTATGTGAATGGGATCATAGTATATGAATTATTCACATTTTTTCTTTTTTAAAAGCAACCATCTATCTTTCTGTGTGCATACACATAGGTATGCTTGTCCTTTTTTAAAGACTGAAATATTTCAAACTGTAGATTGTTGTACCACAATTAATTTAACAGCCTTATTGAAAGACATTTAGATCAGTAACTACTTTTTGGAGAAGTTTCCTTCAAGTGAGAAAAGCTTACTAGGATCAGTTCTATTTTGATTGTCTTAAGCATTTAATTATCCCAAATTATCATACTGACTTTACTCCTGACAGCTTGAAAATTTTTTGTGCATGATGCTATTTACATACTCTAAGGCAGGGCAGAGGATTGCAGAGCACATTTTTCCCAATTTATTCTTCTATTCCACAGTGAAATAAAGGAAGGATCTGAATGTCCCGACAGATAAGAACCAATTTAGTGTATTTCAAGAGGTCACTTTGTAGCCTCTAGAAAATGTTTCTACACTATCATTTATTTAGAAGATTGTTTCTACAGGGACCATTTTTCTTCTAATGACCCAGAGGAAAGTCATTAGTAAATTACTGAAATATTGCTTCTAAATCCTGATTAGGCAAGGAATAAGAGAGGTATAAAAAGAATGATGAGTGGTTATGACCACCCTTATGGTAACTAGCAGAGAGAAGCCATGTGGTCCATCATGGACAAACACCAAGATTATTTAAGACTAGTTCATTTTGATCTCTGTCACAAATTAGCAAAGGAATTGAATACATGTGAACACTGTCAAATCTGAAAAGTAACTAAAACAAAGTCAAGGGTTGGTGAACAAGCAGCACATATGTCAAAAAATCATGAACCAACACTTAAAACTGCAACCATCAACTTGAGGGTCAATTTGACCAAAAAAAAAAAAAAAATTACACATGTATATATGTATATTCATGAGGAAATAATTTTTTAAATTGTCAGTGATTAAAAAGAAAGCTTCAAATCACTTTAGAAGGAATAGACTTCTGAGATGTGTAAACTGAATGAAGTAAAATATAAACTAGAGAATGGGTCAAAAGGAATGTATTTGTCTCATCAGTCAGTACAGTAAGTGCTGCAGCTAGTAAAAGAAAAATATAGCCCTCTATATCTGTGGGTTCCATATCCCTGGATTTAACCAACCACAGATGGAAAATAAAAGAAAAAAAAATGAGTGATTACATCTGAACCAAACGTGTAGACTTTTTAAAAAAATTATCATTATTTCCTAAGCAATACAGCAGGGCATGGTGGCTCATGCCTGTAATCCCAGTACTGTGGGAGGCCGAGGTGGGTAAATCACTTGAGATCAGGAGTTTGAGACCAGCCTAGCCAACATGGTGAAACCCTGTCTCTACTAAAAATACAAAAATTAACCAGGTGTGGTGGCACACACCTGTAATCCCAGCTACTGGGGAGTCAGAGGCAAGAGAATCACTTGAACCTGGGAGGCGGAGATTGCAGTGAGCTGAGATCATGCCACTACACTCCAGACTGGATGACAGAGGAAGACTCCATCTCAAAAACAAAACAACAAAAAAATACAGCATAAAAACTATTTACATAGCATTTACATTGTATTGGGTATTATAAGCAACCTAGATATGATTTAAAGTATATAGGAGGATGTGCACAGGTTATATGCAAATACTATGCCATTTAATTTAAGAAACTTGAATATCCATGGATTTTGGTATCCACAAGGATCCTGGAAGCACCTGTCTGAGGATAACAAGGGATGATTGTATATAGTATATAGTAATCCAAACTCTCCAAATAGTCACTATTACAGGATCACTCAACTTTAATTCAATAAATGCTTTTTTAAGACCCCACTATATACTGTCCACCTATTTGATGCACTTGAAATACAAGGATAGATAGGATAAAAATCCCTGCCCTCGGATAACTGGCAGTCTAATGGGAAAGCAAATAGTTACAAAACATATGGTAAGTGCAAATATGGGATGGGGTGGGGAGACTGTCAGAAGGTTTTTCTAGGGTGGAAATGCCTGAGTTGCATTTTGAAGCACAATTGGCCTGTATCCTCAGCTTCTGCCCCATGTATTCAATCAGCTGGGTATTGAAAAAATACAGAAAATACAAACAGGAAAAAATAACGCTACAAGAGTAAAAAATAATACAAATGAAAAATACAGTAAAACAACTATTATATAGCATTTACATTATATTGGGTATGATAATTTAGAGATGAATTAAAGTCTGTGGGAGGATGCATGTAGGTTATAAACAAATACTATGCCATTTTATGTCAGAAACTTTAGCATCTGTGGGGTTTGGTATCCACAGGGCTCTTGAAACCAATCCCCATGCATACTGAAGCAAGACTATGTTAGTAAGAACTTGACAAACAAAAGATCGGCAAGTTGGTGAAAAACCTGAGAATTTACTCAGTTCTAGAGACTACACAAAGCAGAGCACAGCACACATTGACATATTGGAGGGAGTGGTACAAGGTGAGATTTGAAATATGGTGGGATCAGATTGCTGACCTCCAGTCTAAAAGGTTTGTATTATCCCGGCCTGGCACGCTAGCTCACACCTGTAATCCCAGCACTTTGGGAGGCGGAGGTGAGTGTATCACCTGAGGTCAGGAGTTCGAGACCAGCCTGGCCAACATGGTGAAACCCCATCTCTACTAAAAATACAAAAATTAGCCAGGCATGGTGGCAGGCACCTGTAATCCCAGCTACTTGGAATGCTGAGACAGGCGAATCACTTGAACCTGGGAGGCGGAGGTTGTGGTGAGCTGAGATCCCGCCATTGCACTCCAGCCTTGGCAACAAGAGCGAAACTCCATCTCAAAATAAATAAATAAATAAATACAAATAAAAGGTTTGTATTATCCTGTAGTAGTGGGGAGCCAATGGAAGTTTTCAGCAGAGGAATGACATGATCACAAGTGCATTTTAGAAACATCACGTTTGCTATCTGTTTAAAAGGTAAATTGTAGACAAGACAAAACAGAGAGAAAAGTTGGGTGGTTCAAGTGAGGGATGACAAAGAGCCAAACTAAAGTAGAAGGAAAAGATTGGCAAGGCAACAACAGATTATATAGACCAGTAGTTATTATATAGACCATAAGATTACATAGAACAGTGGTTCCCAACAGAGTGACATTGCCTCCAGTGCCGTTAAAATATTTTTTTGAAAAGAAAACATTGGTTTTTAAAAAGTTTGAAAACAACCTATAAAAATTTTTAAGATTATCTACAAATCTTAGTGATTTATTCACTTTGAAGGTAACAATACATACATTTATAGTTCTAAATATAAGATTACAGATAACTTCTGTATTTTAAATAATGACCAGGAGAAATTTTAATTTATCCCCAGTGTGACTAGATAAAAATCTAAAGTTCTCAGCCTGGAAACAACTTCATTTTACATTTACGCTCCAAATACTTATAGTATGGTTTTATTATACATTGAATTTTCCAGGAACAGTTAACACTGTAAGAAAAGAATATATATTGTTTTGTTTGGAACTTTACCAAAATTTTACCTCTGGTAACCATGCCACTCATTCTCAGATCATCAATAGTATCAGTTTGCATTTGTAGTTGTTACATTTGCAGTGA